CTGTGGTAAACTGATAGTCAGTAGATTTGAATTCAGCTTTAATCCACAAGAAGTTTCTACGCCTTCCTGTAAATACTGCATGAATCCCAGGGAACCCAGAACGGTTCCTGGTGGAACCTCCACCTGAACGACCGGCCAGTGAAACAATCAAATGTTTAGAAAGTGGCTTCATAGTTTAACCAAATGAAGCTGGCAGCAACTTTCTGCTGCTTTGAATAACCGGCTCAGAGAGACGCTGCAACACTGGCAGCTTTTCCTGGGAAGTTTCCCTCTGAGGCAGCAGGAAGAGAACAAACTGTCCATCCGCCAGGCCCCGGCGCTCCAGGCGCTCTCCAGGCTCCAGGCCCGGCGCTCCAGGCCCGGCGCTCCAGGCGCTCCAGGCCCGGCGCTCCAGGCGCTCCAGGCCCGGCGCTCCAGGCGCTCCAGGCCCGGCGCTCCAGGCGCTCCAGGCCCGGCGCTCCAGGCCCGGCGCTGCTGCCGTCAGGAGTTAAAAGCGTTTTCCAGCGGTGACACTGACCTGGTACTCCTGCTCCACGGCGGCCGGGTCCACGGCCCTCAGGGCAGACAGAAGCACGTCCATGACCAGCTCCGGTCGGCAGCTCACTCTCACTCTGACTGCGTCTCAGTTCTGCCTCTGACTTTAACCGTCAGTTAATAATTCAGCTCCTCTCTCACTTCACAACCAGGAAGTGAGGAACCTGAATGACACAAACCGCTCCGGACCGATTACCTCACTGGCCTTTATTGTGTCACTTCAGCAGAGGAGGCCGTCCTTCCTCAAACACGCAGCTGGTCTCTCACCGTGGAGCCGCGTTTGACCTGCAGCCCGTCAGAACCGGGTCAGCCGCAGAACCAGAACCGTCCTTAACGACGACAAACAGAAACAGAGCATTCAGCCAAACGACTGCAAACCTTTCAGAGGAGAAGAGAAAGAAGAAGCCAGACAGCAGAATCTACCATGAAGAAGACCGAGAGTCCAGAACCCAAAACACAACAATTTCATAAAAACATGAGAAAAGCACCAAAGATGTAAATCTATATGTCACCATTTGAAGAAATCTGCCAGATATAATCAGGGTTAGGGTTTTTGTGGGCGTGATGTCGATCTGACATCCCGTGCAAAAAGTCAAATATATACAAGTAACTTTAACTCCAAGCACACCAAAGAAGAAGCAGCAATTGTGGCAAGGTGCAGATGATGTGACAAAGGTCAAAGTGCAGAACAATATGGCTGTGTGGGGGGGGGTGTATGTGAGGTTATGATATGTGTGGGAGGGGGCGGCAGGGAGTAATGGCTCTGACGGGCTGTGGGGAAAAACTGTTTCTCAGTCTGTTTGTTGTAGTCCGTATATCCTGAACCGCTGGCCTGATGGCAGCGGCACAAACAGTCTGTGGCCCGGGTGGCTGGAATCCATGGCTATGGATCCAGCTCTCTTCTTGACCCGGCCTATGTAAATAGAGTCCAGGTCCGGGAGGGGGCATCCCACAATGCCTTGTGCCGTTTCCTCTCCAGTGCTGTGCAGCTACCATACCACACAGGATGCTCTCGATCTGTAGAAGTTCAGAGTAGCTGTGAGGAAAGTCCAGCCCGTCTCAGTTTCCTGAGGAAGAAGAGCCTTTGTTGTGCTTTCTTCACCAGGTGGGAGGTGTTGGTATTCCAGGAGAGGTCAGATGTGATGTGGAGGCCCAGGAACTTGATGTTGTCCACACGCTCCACCTCTTCTCCATCTATGAGAAGGGAGTGTGACCCGTCCTCCTGGACCTTCTGTAGTCCACAATGACCTCCTTGGTCTTCCCTGTGTTCAGCACCAAGTTTATTGGCTGAACACCACTGAGTGAGCTGCAGAATCTCCTCTCTGCAGGGGGTCTCGTTGTTGTCTGAAATGAGACCCACTACTGTTGTGTCGTCCGCGAACTTGACGACTGTGTTGGTGGGGTGGATGGCAACGCAGTCGTGTGTAAACAGGGTGAAGAGCTGGGCTGAAACACAGCCCTGCGGTGCCTGTGTTGAGGACCAGTGGGGACGATGTTGAGCCACCTATTCTCACCACCTGAGGCCTGTTGGTGAGGAAGTCTCTGATCCAGTGGCACAGTGAAGCAGGCAGCTCCACCTTGAGTAGCTTCAGCACCAGCTTGTCTGGATGACGGTGTTAAATGCTGAGCTGAAGTCTACAAATAGCATCCTGACGTAGGTGTTGGGATGCTGCAGATGGGTCAGGGCTGTGTGCAGAGTGATGGAGACAGCGTCCTCTGTTGACCGGTTCGCTCTGTAGGCGAACTGGAGGCTGTCCAGGTCTGCAGGGATGAAGTGTCTGATGTACCTCAGAAGAATCCTCTCAAAGCACTTCATGATCACCGGGGTCAGAGCGATGGGCCGGTAATCGTTCAGGCTGGTGATGGTCGTCTTCTTCGGTACAGGGATGATGGTGGAAGACTTGAGACACTCAGGAACCATGGTGAACTGCAGGGACAGATTGAAAATGTCCAGAAACACTCCTGCCAGCTGGTCGGCGCACGTTTTCAGCGTCTGGCCTGACACCTTGTCCGTCCTGTAGCTTTGCGGGTGTTGATCCTCCTCAGGGTGGACGTCACCTGGTGCTGCTGCAGGACGAGAGGCTGGTACTGCTCTTCCAGTCGGGGTCGATGTACAGCTTCTCTGCTGCCCACTGTGTCAAAGCGGGCAAAGAAGCTGTTTAAGGTGTCAGGCAGGGTGGGGTCGCGGCTGGTCAGATGAGTGCTGTGTTTGTAGTCTGTCATGGGCCTGATGCCTCTCCACATGCTACTGGGGTTGTTGTTGATGAAGTGTTCCTCAATCCGCTGTTTGTACTGGAGCTTGGCCTGCTTAATTCCTTTTTTCAGTTCCGACCGGGCCCTGCTATAAACCAACCTGTCATTTAAATGTGTCATTCAAAGCCTAAATAGATATAAAGTAAATATGTTAGTTATTTGTGGCAAACTGAATTTCTCATTGTTAGTGGGTGGGGCTAACACTGCTCAATGGTGACTGGTCGGCAGTTAGAGTATTTTTACAGGATTTATGGTGAACAGGAAATATTCACCATAAATCATTTGAAGATATAAGTAGTACAATTGACCTTTATAATTACATATTCAACGAGAAAATTCCTGAAGAAATTTAACCGGGGCCTGCCAAAGTGTGCCCGTCGGTTTGGACCCAGAGTTCTGATGCTAAATGCTACCTTTGCTGAAAAAATGACAAAGTATCATGTGAAGAATCACAAGAATGTTCACTAACATGGACTTGCACCATTCAGTATGTTTGAAATAAATGTATAAGCTCAAATTAGCTGAAATGCTAATGTTAGCATGAATACTGTCAGTAGCATGTGGACCATCACTAGCATGATGTCTGTAATTGACTTACTCCAGTCACTATACTAAACATGGGTAATAAGCAGAGAAATAGCTAATACCTCATTTAAGGTAAAAGGCTAATGCTAATGAGCCTGAGAGAAATAGATCATGCTGGATAATCTTACGGCAGTGCACTAGTGGGGAACAGTGAAATGCTAATGTTAATGCTAATGTTAATGCTCTGCCTTGCTGTTTAAGACAGTGTCCTAACTTGAGAAGAAAAGATAATGCAAGCTAATATCATTGCAGCGCCTGTGGCGCTGCATTAGCCATAGATGAATCTTAAGGCTTTTATTTTGAAATTTTCATTAAGCTTGATTTTAAATGGCCAATCTAATCCCATGTGTAACAGTGATTGGGTTCAACCAGCTATATAATGGTCAAAAGAGCACTTACTTGATGGAAAAATTGTCAAGACTTTTATTTTGAAATTGTTTTAAGCTTAATTTAAAATTGCCACATTAATTCCATATGTAACAATGGTTGGTCAAAATCAGTTATAAAATGCTTAAAACACAAGTAGTTCTAAAAGCCAGCTCTGCCACAGTAAAAACTACAGTGATGCGTTTTTTGTAGTCCTAATCAGCTGCTGTGTTGCTATGGTAATGGATCCTCTGCCAGCTGTCGTGTGTGAGACAGAGAGGTGGAGACACATTTCTATCTTTGTGAGACAGCTCAGTCAGTTTTAATGGAAAAAGCAGGCTGAACAACTCCTTGCCGTTCGGGAACCGTGATATGTATCGGAAACCGTTTGAAGTGTTTGAGAGAGCTATCTGTCGACTCCGATAGTCCTGCAATCATATCTGTACATCACTCACGGTAATTGCAGCAATGAGAGAAAAATGGTGTGAACTGAGGTCTGGCAATTTCCAGAAAAGTATGAAAATATATGGTGGAGAGCGTCAGTTACCCTGGAACATGATTTCGCTCAAAAGCACCTTGACAGAAAACCGTAAGCCCTAGAAAAATTTTGAAAACATTTTACTGGAGCAGACATTCGTATCTATGTCATGACCGAATTTCATACCGATAGCACGATATTTGTGGGCGTGGGCGATTTCAAAATTGGTTTGGGGTCAAAATCCACTTCATTTTTCACTCTAGCAGAGCGGCAGATGGTGGCAGTTATGCTCTGCGCTTCGGCAGTTGGAAATTTCGCTCGTTTTTCGCTTGTTACGCGTTGTAACGCGATTCCCCATAAAGTAATAGCTCCAATGCAGGGATCGAGCCGCACGTTTTGATACCACTTTTGTGGGGCTCGCGGCGGTGCGAGCCGCATTAAGGTCCACGGAAGAATAAGTTAATAAAGAGGCATTCTATTAGGTGAAGATTAATAGGTGCCTCCATGCAATGCATGGAGGCAGGCCCCAATGACGTGATTGGGTTTTAGCACAGTTATATAAATAGATACGATGTTTTTATTCAAGCTATCGATGAATGAATGCAAAAAGCGGCCAAAGTCTAAATAAACCCTTCAGGAGAAGAGTCGATCCGGGTTTAGCCGGCTGTTGGAATGAGCTCAGAAACAAAGTGGGCTCTGAGCTGCGTCTCAGTGTCAGAGTGAGACCTCTGTGCTCTCAGCCCATCTTCGCCGCTGCTAGCCTGCTAGCTAGCAGCTCTCCGGGAACATGGCGGCGTCGCAGGCTCTGTCCGAGGAGGAGTTCCACCGGATGCAGGTGAGAAGGAGCGGCTGGAGGCTCCTCGTTGGGCGGCAGGTGCTGTCAGGTAGCAGGCACACCCGAAGGGAGCGGCGGCCATGCGGAGCGGCGCTGCCGGAGGACGTTAGCGCTCCGTGCTAACCTTTAGCTGCTGATCTGGAGCGGGTATCGGAGCGAGCTGGTCGGGTCTGCGGGGATGCGGATGCGGGGTTGGAGGGTTAAATGCGTTTATCTGGGCCTGTGACGGCCGGAGGTCTCGGACTGAGCCGGGACACCTTCCAGACTGATGGACGCTTTCCTTTAGCTGCCAACTCGCTAGCCTCTGTGCTGCTAACCGTTATGTTTCTGTCAGCTGACAGTCACCGGGTCTGAGGGACGCGGCTGGCCGCGTTCAGGTCCAGCTAGCTCGGCCGCAGGTGGAGCCAAGAGCCGCTGCATGGACCGGGCCGAGAGGTGATGGTGTTTAAAGACAGTGATCAGAGTATTTAGTTCCAGGAAAAAGTGAGTCATAGTCAGGTGATTGTAGATGACCCGACCAGGACATCCGGGTTCAGACGCAATTAGGAGCAAAGTGCACTTTCTTCATCAGCCCTCACATGTTGGACGTTTCAGGAAAAGAAAAGTCAGTGGAAGGAAGACAAACAAAAGATCTGAAGGTGTTGCATTCAGGTACCTGTGATCAGAGGGTCACTCCGGGCTGGAGACGTGAGGAAAGCCGGATCGAGAGATGGAGGATTTCTGGGAGAAATGGAGACAGGTGATCCAACATGGAGGTGCCTGAATGGAGAAGATGGAATATTTCATGTGCTCAGATGGGTGATTGTTGGTTTCTTGGGAAAGTTTTTCGTTTCTGGATAAAAATGCAGTCCAGAGGTCCCAGTGAAGAATGTTTTCAGGTCTGAAGCTCTTAGATGTTAGTCCAGCACATCATTTAATATTTCAGTAAAATGTACAACTTGCAGATACAAGAATCTAATGTGGCACAGATGTTCCTGGGGATTTAGTGTTAAGAAAACCCCCAAATCTTTAGACACTGGGAAGAGTAAAGACGTCTGCTATAGCAGTGGTCCCCAACCTTTTCACCACCATGGACCGCTCCAGGCTTGGCAGTTTTACGGCGGCTCCTCCCTGTCCGATCCTCCTGTACTGTGAGGTGTGTCACAACGACTGATCTGGTCCAGTCAGTAGAACGTCGTCGGGACCGCGCCGATCAAAAATCAGGTATATTTTGTCATTGTCTTGGCCCGATTATCCCATTCTGTGGGGTTTTCCCTGACAGTGAGTCAGAACACAGCCTGTTAAACGTGACAGGCATCAGAAAGCGCTGTGACGCAAGAACGAGGGGAACCCGAACAGCTGACACGGCGTGACGGAGAGTCTGGTCCTTCACATCATCTGCTGTCAGAGTAGCAAACATGCAGTTTTATCACTGCTTCTACATCTTATTATTCTGAATTCACTGTGGGATGTTGGGGTTTTACTGGATCTTCTTCTGGAACCGGGATGTTCAGTGGAACTGGTTCTGGTGCAGTGTTGCTCCTGGACTCGAACTGACCGAACCTGTTGGACTTTTATCGGCTCTGAGGTCACAGAGGTTTGTAAAATCGGCCAATGATCCTTAAATCATCTCGACCCCTGACCTCACGCTGTCTGACTCTGGTCACTATGGTAACTGTTATATATCCCTTCAAAATAAGATGCGCCACAAAAACCAACATTTAGTTTTCTAAACATTTTAACTCAGGATATCGACTGATGGACCCTGAGCTGTTTCTCCTGCTGGAGACGCTGAAGTGATGCTCAGGGAGACACTGGGTCTCCATGGTGATGCAGTCTGAAGCTTCATTGGCTCATCAGGTCACCTGACCATCCAGAGCAGCTTGGACTGTGGGAATCAACCCACCGGGACAAACCCATCCTCCTGCCTCTCTGGGCCTGCAGACAAACTTTCCAAAGAATCTGATCTGGTTCTGTTCATTTTGCTGCTTGTGGATCAATGTTGGCGCCAAAACACAGCCGAGAGAATCCGGTAAAGGATTTTCAAAATAAAAGACCCTCCAGACTTACATAATACAGAAAAACAGAAATATTTCATTATTTTGTGTGCGGCTCGGTACCAACCAGTCCACGACCCGGTACCGTTGGGACCACTGTGCTGTAGTTTTCAAGTAAAATTTATTTCTGCAGTAATTTGCCAATATTAGTCACAGGTGAATACTTTTTGTGTCAAATTATACATAATCATAGAAGTTAAATGTACTGATAATGCTTTAAAAATTCAAGATGGTGGTCATGGAAAATTTACTTTAGCAATGAAATTGCCAATTAAATGAATGACATATATAGATCTATATATATAGCTCTATATATCCTCTGAGCTCGGGTCCTCTACCAGAGGATATATAGATCTATATATATATATATATATATATATATATATATATATATATATATATCTATTATATATATATAGATATATATATATATATATATATATATATAGATCTATATACATATATATATATATAGGCTGACTGGATAGCTCAATACATAAGGCATCAGTATATCACCCGAGAGGGCAGGGTTCGAATCCAGTCTGGGTCCTTAGGCAAGACCCTTCAAGCTACTGCCTACCTCATACCATGAGAGATACTAAGTTGCGTAACATGCCGGCTCAGACGTCGCCCGGCCAAACAAGGTCTGCGTCAGGTGTTGGGAAACCAGAGCACCTTGATGACAAATGGGCTACTGGAACAAGACGAAAATGGGCGAGAGATGAAAATGTGGATCTGTTGGAATGCTACTACTCAAGTAACCCTAGTGAGAGAGGTTACATGCAAAGACTGGGGAAGGAATGGCTACTTCGACATCCCCAGTCAACACTAAGCGCTAAACAACTAGTAGCTCAGTGTTCCAACATCCGCAAACGGCAACTGCTATCACAACTTGAGATTGACGAGATACAACACAAATGCTACGGCAAAAGGGAGGAACCCGGATGTCAGGACTGTGGGGACTTAACTACAAGTCCCCACCCAGTGAGGGGATACACGGCCCCAATGAGCGAAACAGAGCTGAACGAGACAGACATCAGTGATCCTTGAGATACTTGGCTATAAGAGCAACCATGAGACCCAATACCCACCATGGAAAAGACGGTTAGAGGCTAAAATCAAGGTAACAAGGAGGGAAGTGAGCCAACTGTCAGAGCTCCACAAGGGTACAATGAAAAGACCAGTACCCAGAAAGTACAGCCAGATGCCCATACCTGCACTTGAAACTGCCAAACAGAGGCTCCAAGCCTTGGCCAGCCGCCTAAAGAGATACACAAGGGAGAATGAATCCAGAAGGATTAACTGGCTCTTCTCCACTCAACCCGCTAAGGTGTACTCTCAATGGCAGGGTAATAACAACAGAGCAGACCCACCAAGGCTGGAGACGGAACAATACTGGAAAGGCATATGGGAAAGGGAGGCGTCCCACAACAGCAATGCACAGTGGCTGATCTCTCTACGAGAGGACCACAGCAACCTCCCTGAGCAAGCCCCGGTAACCATCACTGTGACAGATGTTCAAGAAAGACTCTCAGGTATGAAAAACTGGACAGCACCAGGGCCTGACATGATCCATGCCTACTGGCTAAAGAAACTCACTGCTCTCCATGAGCGACTGGCAGCCCAAATGAACCAGCTGCTACAAAGTGGGACTCACCCTGAATGGTTAACTGAAGGGCGGACAGAAGGATCCATCATCAAAGGGTCCAGTCCCACCCAACTACCGACCAACAACCTGGAAGCTCATGTCAGGCATCATAGCGACCAAGATAAGCAAACACATGGATAAACACATGAGCACGGCACAGAAGGGTATCGGTGTAAATACCAGAGGAGCCAAACACCAACTCCTCGTGACCGCACAGTTGCCGAGACTGCAAAACCCGACACACCAACCTGTGCATGGCTTGGATCGATTACAAGAAAGCCTATGACTCAATGCCGCATACTTGGATCATTGAATCAACAGGATTCTGAGAGCCTTCATTGCAAACTCGATGAAGCTGTGGAAACCACCCTTGAAGCCAACTGCAAACCACTTGCACAAGTGTCCATCAAATGTGGCATATACCAAGGAGATGCTCTGTCCCCGCTACTGTTCTGCATAGGCCTGAACCCCCTCAGCCAAATTATCAACAAGACTGGCTACGGATACCGACTCAAAAATGGGGCCAACATCAGTCACCTCCTCTACATGGATGACATCAAGCTGTATGCCAAGAGTGAGCGAGACATCGACTCACTGATCCACACCACCAGGATCTACAGCACTGACATTGGGATGTCATTCGGACTAGAGAAGTGTGGTCGGCTGATCACAAAGAGGGGGAAGGTGATCCGCACAGAAGGAGTCTCACTCCCACAAGGAACAATAGCAGACATAGAGGACAGCTACAAGTACCTATATACCACAAGCAAATGGCAACCTCGATGAGGCCACAAGGAAAGGAGCCACAGCTAAATACCTCCAACGAATAAGGCAAGTCCTGAGAAGCCAGCTCAATGGCAAGAACAAAATCAGTGCGATAAACAGCTATGCCCTGCCAGTAATCAGATACCCTGCTGGAATAATCAGCTGGCCAAAGGAGGAGATAAAAGCCACAGATATTAAGACTAGAAAGCTACTAACCATGCATGGAGGGTTTCATCCCAAATCCAGCACCCTGAGACTGTACACGAGCCGCAAGGAAGGAGGCAGAGGACTAGTGAGTGTGAGAACCACTGTCCAGGACGAAACAACTAAGATCCATAAATACATCAGGGACAAAGCCTCAACAGACAATGTGCTCAGTGAATGTCTCAGACAACAGGGAACGGAGGTTAAGGTGCCAGAGATACCATCATGGGAGGACAAGCCCCTACATGGGATGTACCACCAGCAAATAACCCAAGTGGCTGATATCAGTAAATCCTACCAATGGCTGGAAAAAGCTGGACTCAAGGACAGCACAGAGGCCCTCATCCTGGCCGCCCAGGAACAGGCCCTAAACACCAGAGCAATAGAGGCCCGGATCTACCACACCAGACAAGACCCAAGGTGTAGGTTGTGCAAGGAGGCCCCTGAGACAGTCCAGCACATCACAGCAGGGTGCAAGATACTGGCAGGGAAAGCGTACATGGAGCGACATAACCAAGTGGCAGGCATTGTACAGAAACATCTGTGCAGAATATGGACTGGAAACCCCGAGATCAAAGTGGGAAACACCCCAAAGGTGTAGAGAACACCAGAGCTAAGATCCTGTGGGACTTCCAGATCCAGACAGACAAAATGGTAATGGCGAACCAACCAGACATTGTCGTAGTGGATAAACATCAGAGGAAAGCCGTTGTGGTAGATGTAGCAATACCAAGTGATTGCAACATCAGGAAAAAGGAGCACGAGAAACTGGAGAAATACCGGGCCTCAGGGAAGAACTGGAGAGGGCCTGGAAGGTGAAGACCACAGTGGTGCCTGTGGTCATCGGGGCCCTCGGGGCAGTAACTCCCAAACTGGAGCACTGGCTACAACAGATTCCAGGAACACATCAGACATCTCAGTCCAGAAATGTGCAGTCCTTGGCACAGCCAAGATACTGCGCAGGACCCTCAAGCTCCCAGGCCTCTGGTAGAGGACCCGAGCTCAGAGGATAAGAACCACCCGCGGTGGGTGAGAAGGGAATTATTTTTATTTTATATATCTATCTATCTATCTATATATATATATATATATATATATATATATATATATATATATTATATAGATCTATATATCCTATATATCCTCTACCAGAGGATATATAGATCTATATATATATATCTATATATCCTCTACCAGAGGCCTGGGAGCTTGAGGGTCCTGCAGTATCTTGGCTGTGCCAAGGACTGCTGCACATTTCTGGACTGAGATGTCTGATGTTGTTCCTGGGATCTGTTGTAGCCACTGCTCCAGTTTGGGGGTTACTGCCCCGAGCTCTGGCGTTCTCCACCACCTTTGGGGGTGTTTCCCACTTTGATCTCGGGGTTTCCAGTCCATATTCTGCACAGATGTTTCTGTACACTATGCCTGCCACTTGGTTATGTCGCTCCATGTTCTCTGCCAGTATCTTGCACCCTGCTGTGATGTGCTGGACTGTCTCAGGGGCCTCCTTGCACAACCTACACCTTGGGTCTTGTCTGGTGTGGTAGATCTGGGCCTCTATTGCTCTGGTGTTTAGGGCCTGTTCCTGGGCTGCCAGGATGAGGGCCTCTGTGCTGTCCTTGAGTCCAGCTTTTTCCAGCCATTGGTAGGATTTACTGATATCAGCCACTTGGGTTATTTGCTGGTGGTACATCCCATGTAGGGCTTGTCCTCCCATGATGGTATCTCTGGCACCTCAACCTCCGTTCCCTGTTGTCTGAGACATTCACTGAGCACATTGTCTGTTGAGGCTTTGTCCCTGATGTATTTATGGATCTTAGTTGTTTCGTCCTGGACAGTTGTTCTCACACTCACTAGTCCTCTGCCTCCGTCCTTGCGGCTCGTGTACAGTCTCACAGTGCTGGATTTGGGATGGAACCCTCCATGCATGGTTAGTAGCTTTCTAGTCTTAATATCTGTGGCTTTTATCTCCTCCTTTGGCCAGCTAATTATTCCAGCAGGGTATCTGATTACTGGCAGGGCATAGCTGTTTATCGCACGGATTTTGTTCTTGCCATTGAGCTGGCTTCTCAGGACTTGCCTTATTCGTTGGAGGTATTTAGCTGTGGCTCCTTTCCTTGTGGCCTCATCGAGGTTGCCATTTGCTTGTGGTATACCTAGTACTTGTAACTGTCCTCTATGTCTGCTATTGTTCCTTGTGGGAGTGAGACTCCTTCTGTGCGGATCACCTTCCCCCTCTTTGTGATCAGCCGACCACACTTCTCTAGTCCGAATGACATCCCAATGTCCGTGCTGCAGATCCTGGTGGTGTGGATCAGTGAGTCGATGTCTCGCTCACTCTTGGCATACAGCTTGATGTCATCCATGTAGAGGAGGTGACTGATGTTGGCCCCATTTTTGAGTCGATATCCGTATCCAGTCTTGTTGATAATTTGGCTGAGGGGTTCAGGCCTATGCAGAACAGTAGCGGGGACAGAGCATCTCCTTGGTATATGCCACATTTGATGGACACTTGTGCAAGTGGTTTGCAGTTGGCTTTAAGGGTGGTTTTCCACATCCTCATCGAGTTTGCAATGAAGGCTCTCAGAATCCTGTTGATGTTATACATCTCTAGGCATTCAATGATCCAAGTATGCGGCATTGAGTCATAGGCTTTCTTGTAATCAATCCAAGCCATGCACAGGTTGGTGTGTCAGGTTTTGCAGTCTCGGGCAACTGTGCGGTCTACTGGCTAAAGAAACTCAGAGATGTGCTGGACTGTCTCATGGATCATGTCAGGCCCTGCTGCTGTCCAGTTTTTCATACCTGAGACTCTTTCTTGAACATCTGTCACAGTGATGGTTACCAGGGCTTGCTCAGGGAGGTTGCTGTGGTCCTCTCGTAGAGAGATCAGCCACTGTGCATTGCTGTTGTGGGACGCCTCCCTTTCCCATATGCCTTTCCAGTATTGTTCAGTCTCCAGCCTTGGTGGGTCTGCTCTGTTGTTATTACCCTGCCATTGAGAGTACACCTTAGCTGGTTGAGTGGAGAAGAGCCGGTTAATCCTTCTGGATTCATTCTCCCTTGTGTATCTCTTTAGGCGGCTGGCCAAGGCTTGGAGCCTCTGTTTGGCAGTTTCAAGTGCTTCAGGTATGGGCATCTGGCTGTACTTTCTGGTACTGGTCTTTTCATTGTACCCTTGTGGAGCTCTGACAGTTGGCTCACTTCCCTCCTTGTTACCTTGATTTTAGCCTCTAACCGTCTTTTCCATGGTGGGTATTGGGTCTCATGGTTGCTCTTATAGCCAAGTATCTCAAGGATCACTGATGTTGAGTTGTAGATCAGCTCATTGGTTTCTGTTATGGTGTTGGTAGGGATCGTTCTCAATGCTGCATTCACATTCTCAATGAGACTTTCTGATGGTACTTCACTCAGCCGTTGTAATTGGCGCCGAGGAGGCCTGGTTGTCATTCGGGTCATGATTCTCTCTCTCAGGTCAGCAGCTGTCTCGTTCAGCTCTGTTTCGCTCATTGGGGCCGTGTATCCCCTTACTGGGTGGGGACTTGTAGTTAAGTCCCCACAGTTCTGACATCCGGGTTCCTCCCTTTTGCCGTAGCATTTGTGTTGTATCTCGTCAATCTCAAGTTGTGATAGCAGTTGCTGTTTGCGGATGTTGGAACACTGAGCTACTAGTTGTTTAGCGCTTAGTGTTGACTGGGGATGTCGAAGTAACCATTCCTTCCCCAGTCTTTGCATGTAACCTCTCTCACTAGGGTTACTTGAGTAGTAGCATTCCAACAGATCCACATTTTCATCTCTCGCCCATTTTCGTCTTGTTCCAGTAGCCCATTTGTCATCAAGGTGCTCTGGTTCTCCAACACCTGACGCAGACCTTGTTTGGCCGGGCGACGTCTGAGCCGGCATGTTACGCAACTTAGTATCTCTCATGGTATGAGGTAGGCAGTAGCTTGAAGGGTCTTGCCTAAGGACCCAGACTGGATTCGAACCGTTTTATGGTGAATATGCTTTTACAATAAAATCGTCTTTTCCAGTGGTGCGCACTGCTAACAAAAAGACGCTAATGCTAGTTATGGAAAACTAGCAGATGCTAACTGTAACGATGAAGATGACTGTCTCGGTGTCAGACTTTATGAAACATTTTGATTGGTCATCTGGGACAGTGGTCAGTTTGAGCTGTTGCTTGTCCCTCAGTGGTCGAGATATTGACCCCGTGACCCCAGATAAACGTAGGTCATGTGGGTTCACCTGTGCAGGTAGACCACTTCTTTCTCTGTAGGTTAATATTTTCTGATCAAAGCAAACAAACAAACCGTCGGATCAGTTGCTGTTGATCCTCTGGAGAGCCTTCAGTGCTGCTCCACCTGCTGCTGCTGCTCCACCTGCTGCTGTTGCTTCACCTGCTCCTGCTGCTGCTTCACCTGCTGCTGCTGCTTCACCTGCTGCAGCTCCATTTGCAGTGAGAATGTACTGGAGGAAACTTTGGAGTCAGAGTTTGTCTCCATCGTATCAGACTCCTGTACTGACGATGTGTCAGGGTGTTGCCGGTTAACTAACTCAGGGTCGGCTGAACCTGACATCAGCTGGCGAACAGTGATGCTGCGGGTCACCATGTTTCACTGCGTCCAACTTAAAGACTCCAGTTAATGCAGAGCTTAAGACTGGCCAGCAGGGGGAGCTGGTTCCAGTCAGCTAAACCCTTCTGTGTGTGTTTTTCAGGCTCAGCTGCTGGAGCTGCGGACTCAGAACTACCAGCTGTCTGATGACCTCAGGAAGAACTCTGCAGGTAAAACACCAAGGCTGCCCGCAGGATCACTCCTCCTCCACCATGCCAGAACCGGTACAAATAACTTCTGGGTCTGTTTCAGAGCTGAACGCCGTCCGCCTGAAGCTCGGCGTTCTGGAGAGAGACCTAGTCAAAGCTCAGAAGGTGATTGGCTACTGGTTGGTTGGTTTCTGGCTGGTCTCCTTCTGCTTCTACTGATTTTTGTCTCGTTTTTTCTTCAGGCTTTAAACAAGAGTAAAAAGGCTCAGGTGAGTCTCCGTCTTGGTTGCTATGGTTACTAGGCGGCGTGACCCCATTCTGACCCCAGGTGTCGCTGCAGGAGGTGGAGGCTCTGCTGAGTGAGAACGAGATGCTGCAGGGGAAGCTGCACAGCCAGGAGGACGACTTCCGGCTGCAGAACAGCACGCTGATGGGCGAGCTGTCCAAGGTAGGGCGACCTCCGGGTGACCTGAGGTGACCTGAGGTCACCCCAGCCTGACCCCTGTCCCTCAGCTCTGCACGCAGATCGAGCAGCTGGAGACGGAGAACCGGCGCCTGCAAGAGGGGGGCGGAGCCTCGGGGCCCCCTGCTGACTCCGCCCACGGCCCCGCGGACGGGCTGCTGCGGCTGCAGGCCGAGAACGCCGCGCTGCACAAGAAGCTGAGGGGTGAGTCTGATGGGGGGCTCTGGAGGTCTGGTCCGGACCAGGCGGGTTCTATTTGGTTCGGTCCGTTTCTGATGTTTCAATCGCTCCTCTTCTTCTGCAGCTCTCCAGGACCGTTTCGACGGGGAGCCGCAGGGGCGCCCGTTGCCACAGAGACGGATGGACCAGCTGGCACCAATGGCGTCTCAGATGTGGCAGGGGGCAGGGCAGGGGCGGGGCCAGAGGGAACCAATCAGAGGAGGAAAAGGTGAGCACCTGTAGCAAAGCTGGACCACAGAGTTCTGTTCAGTCCAACTCAGTTCTGTCCCGGTTCTGACCCGGTTCTGTCCCGGTTCTGACCCGGATCTGTCCCTCAGACTGACAGCGGCGTGCAGCAGTCAGAGCAGCAGCGTCACGGTGAGTCTCTCTGCGTTGCCACACATCAGCTCATATCAATAATATCTCATCAATATTCATGTCAGGTTCCCCCAGTTAACCTGCTGAGTGTTTTTGTATGAAAGATGTTGATTAGACAGGAAATGTAAAAATATTACTGGATGTTACAGGAAAACATCTCCACTGAAACTATTTAAACCACAACTAGTCTGAAAAACAGCAAATCAAAAAATGCAATTAAAATGAATATTAATTATTTGCACTTGTGTTTAATCCACATGAAGGCAGCGGGTCCCTCGGCCCCCGGGCTTCAGGGGCCATAAATGATCATATTTGAACAAAAACCACAGATGTATAAATGGAACATTTGTTTATTGAGATTATAAATGCTACTAAAGTTGATTTAATGGTTTCAGCATAAAGTAAAATATTTTAAATTGTTTAACATTTAAATATAAGATTTTAAGGAGCTGGCAAGTTTACTTTGTAAAACTTCAAAGAGCAACATCCACAGTTAGATTGTGACCATAGCAACAATCTGATGCTGCGAGGTTAATCTTTGAGTTTGAGCCGTTTGTTCACAAATACAAATGAATAAACTGTAGTTAATCTACTTTAATCTCCCAGATTAAATCCAACAGAAGCTGCTAGAGGTTCTGATGTTCTAGCAGCAAGAGGGGCCCCAAAGTCAGGCTCTGCCCCGGGCCTCATGCAGCCTTGGACCGGCCCTGCAGGATGAGTTCAACCTGCTGCACTGCAGAGAGGAGCAACAAACAGATTTAATTCAATGAACCGCTAAAACGTTAACAGAAATGTTAGAGCTCTAGCAGCTCTAACATTTCTATCTGTCCAGTTTTAATACGAGTCACAGAAACTGTTCTGGTCGCCTGAGTTTATGGGACGAGATTTTCAGATCTGTCTTTAACTAAGTGGACAAAGCATTTGACATGGCTGTAGCTTCGTGTAACCGGAAAAATCAAACTAAAACTATTAATAAAACAGTATAAAAGCAGCGTGATGCGAGACCGCCAGGAGAACTGAAAGCTCCTCACCGGCTGAACCTGCACGATGAGCTTAGCGCTGGTTCGCTAAGCGCTAACGCTCCGGCCAACCGGAGCACAGACATGAACTTTACTGGGAAGACAGCGCCACCCGGTGGGCAGCTGCTGAGATGGAAACGCCATACACAAAGATAAATCCCTCTCAGGCTCCTCAACACACCTCTGACAGCGATTTCAAGTTATTCCTGCGCTTCATAGAGCTGCGCAGCCAGAGCTAACGCGGTGGGTTAAACTTAAAGAATCATGATTCCTCACAAGGGGTTGATGTAGATATGCATACAGGTCAGCCTGTCCAGTTTGAGTGAAAGGTCAACTTCACAGAGCAAGCGAGATGCCACACGCTGGGCTTGCAATTAAGCTTTACAAAACCTTAAGCATTTTTCTTTCTTTTTTTTTGAATTATTATTTTCCTAAAAAAACAAAAAAACAAGCAACGTTTAGCCTGGCCGTGGGGCAAGGAGAGAATGGCGGCCAGCCAGGCTTATAATACAACAGCGACCTCTTCTGGCAGCGGCTGGTCGGTTCTCATTGTCTGTTTGTTCAGAGCGACAACTGCAGATGGAGATGGAGCTGAACACCCAGACAGAGGAGAAGAGACTCCTGAAGGAGCAGCTGCTGGCCCTGGAGGTACACACTGACACACACTGACACACTGACACACACTGACACACACTGATACACACTGACACACACTGATACACACTGACACACACTGACACACACTGACACACACTGACACACTGATACACACTGACACACACTGACACACACTGACACACACTGACACACTGATACACACTGACACACTGATACACACTGATACACACTGACACACACTGATACACACTGACACACACTGACACACACTGATACACACTGACACACACTGACACACTGACACACACTGACACACACTGATACACACTGATACACACTGACACACACTGATACACACTGACACACACTGACACACACTGACACACTGATACACACTGACACACACTGATACACACTGATACACACTGACACACACTGACACACACTGACACACACTGACACACACTGACACACACTGATACACACTGACACACACTGATACACACTGACACACACTGACACACACTGACACACACTGACACACTGATACACACTGATACACACTGACACACACTGACACACACTGATACACACTGATCACACTGACACACACTGACACACACTGATACACACTGATACACACTGACACACACTGACACACACTGACACACACTGACACACACTGACACACTGATACACACTGATACACACTGATACACACTGACACACACTGACACACTGACACACACTGATACACACTGATACACACTGACACACACTGACACACTGATACACACTGATACACACTGATACACACTGACACACACTGACACACTGATACACACTGATACACACTGACACACACTGACACACACTGACACACACTGACACACACTGATACACACTGACACACACTGATACACACTGATACACACTGACACACACTGACACACACTGACACACACTGACACACACTGATACACACTGACACACACTGATACACACTGACACACACTGACACACACTGACACACACTGACACACTGATACACACTGACACACACTGATACACACTGATACACACTGACACACACTGACACACACTGATACACACTGATACACACTGACACACACTGACACACACTGATACACACTGATACACACTGACACACACTGACACACTGATACACACTGATACACACTGATACACACTGACACACACTGATACACACTGACACACACTGATACACACTGATACACACTGACACACACTGACACACTGATACACACTGATACACACTGATACACACTGACACACACTGACACACTGATACACACTGATACACACTGACACACACTGACACACACTGACACACACTGACACACACTGATACACACTGACACACACTGACACACTGACACACTGATACACACTGATACACACTGATACACACACTGACACACACTGACACACACTGATACACACTGACACACACTGACACACTGACACACTGATACACACTGATACACACTGACACACACTGACACACACTGACACACACTGACACACACTGACACACACACTGACACACACTGACACACACTGACACACACTGACACACACTGACACACTGATACACACTGATACACACTGACACACACTGACACACACTGACACACACTGACACACACTGACACACACTGACACACACACTGACACACACTGACACACACTGATACACACTGACACACTGACACACTGACACACACTGATACACACTGACACACACTGATACACACTGACACACACTGACACACTGATACACACTGACACACACTGACACACACTGACACACACCGACACACACCGACACACACCGATACACACTGACACACACTGACACACACTGATACACACTGACACACACTGATACACACTGACACACACTGACACACACACTGATACACACTGATACACACTGACACACACTGACACACACTGACACACACTGATACACACTGATACACACTGACACACACTGACACACTGACACACTGACACACACTGATACACACTGATACACACTGACACACACTGACACACACTGACACACACTGACACACACTGACACACACTGACACACACTGACACACACTGACACACTGATACACACTGACACACACTGACACACTGACACACACTGATACACACTGACACACACTGACACACACTGATACACACTGACACACTGATACACACTGACACACACTGACACACACTGACACACACTGATACACACTGACACACACTGATACACACTGACACACACTGATACACACTGACACACACTGACACACACTGACACACACTGACACACACTGACACACACTGACACACACTGACACACTGATACACACTGATACACACTGACACACACTGACACACACTGACACACACTGACACACACTGACACACTGATACACACTGATACACACTGACACACACTGACACACACTGACACACACTGATACACACTGACACACACTGACACACACTGACACACACTGATACACACTGATACACTGATACACACTGACACACACTGACACACACTGACACACACTGACACACACCGACACACACTGATACACACTGACACACTGATACACACTGACACACACTGACACACACTGACACACACTGACACACTGATACACACTGATACACACTGACACACACTGACACACACTGACACACACTGATACACACTGACACACACTGACACACACTGACACACACTGATACACTGATACACACTGACACACACTGACACACACTGACACACACTGACACACCCGACACACACTGATACACACTGACACACACCGACACCACTGATACACACTGACACACACTGACACACACCGACACACACTGATACACACTGATACACACTGACACACACTGACACACACTGATACACACTGACACACACACTGATACACACTGACACACACTGACACACACTGACACACACTGACACACACCGACACACTGATACACACTGACACACACCGACACACACTGATACACACTGACACACACTGACACACACCGACACACACTGATACACACTGATACACACTGACACACACTGACACACTGATACACACTGACACACACTGACACACACTGATACACACTGACACACACTGACACACACCGACA